GGTGTCATCGAACGTGTGGATGCTTCAGCCTGGGTGTCCCCCATCGTTGTTACTGGGAAGAAAACACGTGGAATACGAATGTGTGCAGACTTAAGAGAAGTTAACAAAGCTGTCATTACTGACTGTTATCCATTACCACACATTGATGAAATGCTTACCAGCCTCAGGGGTGCTACAGTATTTTCTACTATTGATCTGGCTAATGCATACTATCAGCTTCCCCTGCATGAGGATTGTAGAGATATTACAGCTTTTATCACTCATGACGGTCTGTTCAGATATTGCAGGGTTCCCTATGGCCTGGCGTCGGCACCCTCTGCTTTCCAAAAGATGATGGCAACCATCCTGGAGGGCGTGCCAGGTGCAAAAAATTACTTGGATGATGTTATCGTGTATGGAGAATCGGCTGAGGACCATGACTTCAACCTCAGTACTGTATTGCAGAAATTGAAAGAGTCTGGGCTGGTGTTAAATGATAAAAAATGCAATTTCAAACAGACTTCACTGCGGTTCCTGGGCCATGTAATCAGCGCTAATGGAATCCTACCTGATCGAGAGCATCTGGATGCGGTCCGTGAAGCTCCGCCCCCATTTGATGCAGCATCTCTTCAATCCTTTCTAGGATTAGTGTCCTGGTACTCAAAATTCCTTCCTGGGTTTGCGACAGTGGTTGCCCCAATGCGTGAGTGCGCTAAAGAAAAGGGACAATTTTCTTGGACGCCTGCTGCTCAAAGCAGTTTTGAGAACATTAAACAAATGCTTGTGTCCAGTTCAGCTCTTACCATTTATGACCCCACACTGCATTCAGTCATTTCAACGGATGCCAGCGACTACGGGTTGGGCGCAGTGTTCACCCAAGTGCAATTAGACGGAACAGAAAAACCAGTGGCTTTCGCTTCTCGCACACTCAGTGATGCTGAAAAGAAATATTCTACAGTGGAGAAGGAGGCCCTGGCATGTGTGTGGGCTACTGAGAAATGGCGAACGTACGTGTGGGGCCATCGCTTTACACTTCGCACAGACCATCAGGCACTCACCACCTTACTCACTACAAAAGGCATGGGGAGGGCCGGAATGCGGATTGCTCGTTGGGCGGCATGTCTGCTATGTTTTGATTATGACGTTGTCTATAGGCCGGGCTCCCAGAACCACACAGCAGACTGCTTGTCTCGTCTTCCCATTCCGTCATATGATGATGACTTCGCTGATTTAGAGCCTGAAATTGTTGCATTAATTTCCTCCACATTATGTTCTCTTTCAGTGACTGACTTTGAAACTGCCTGTGCTACCTGTCCTGAACTGGAGATGCTGCGAAAGCAAATTACACATGGCTGGTCACCCTCCATCAAAGCAGTGAGTCAGGACATGATTCCATACTTCAGAGTGAGAGATGAGCTTGCCGTGAAAGATGCTTTCATTTTCAGAGGAACAAGGTTGTTAGTTCCTGTAGCCCAGTGTTTCTCAACCTCTCCTGCAGGGACCCCCTGACAGGCCATGTTTCTGTTTTAACCCTGAAATGGCACACCTGATTCAAGTCATTAAAGGCTTAATGAGTAGTTGACTAATTGATTAATTGAACTATTCCTACTCTAATTACTCATTAAGCCTTTAATTACTTGAATCAGGTGTGCCATTTCAGAGTTAAAACAAAAACATGGCCTGTCAGGGGGTCCCTGCAGGAGAGGTTGAGAAACACTGCTGTAGCCCTACGACACACCTTGATTTCCTTGGCACACGAGTCTCATCAGGGAATAGTCCGCACAAAACAGAGGTTGCGGGATCTTTACTGGTGGCCGCAAATGGACTCTCAGGTCCAGTCAACTATCGCTTCATGCATTCCCTGCCAGTCCAATGACAAATCTGCTGTGACGCATCCAGCACCTCTGCAGCCAGTTCAGTTTCCTGAGGGTCCGTGGAAAAAACTGGGTCTGGATGTAGTCGGACCATTTGAAACCGCCACCCCTGCTTGCAGATATGCTATAACACTCACAGACTATCACTCCAAGTGGCCTGAGCTTGCATTTGCTAGCAGTGCAACTACTGTGGATGTTATAAAATTTCTGAGTACAGTTTTTAGTCGTCATGGCAACCCAGAGGGTATTGTTACGGACAATGGTACACAGTTCACCTCAGCTGCCTTCGCCGAGTTTTTGAAGGAACGAGATATTAAACACATCCGTACATCTGTGTACTATCCTGCATCTAACGGTGCTGTTGAAAGATTTCACCGTGCACTGAAAGGTTGTATCCAGACAGCCATTCAACACTCACAACCATGGAACAAAGCCGTTACAGAGTGGCTCCAGGTGTACCGTGCAACCCCTCACGCTACTACGGGTGTGTCACCATATGAGCTCTTATATGGGAGGAAGATGCGAACCAAGCTTAACATCCTGCCTTTACAGGGGGAGGGCAAATGTGATCTCGCTGCGGTCCGTGAAAATGTAAAAAAGAAACAGGACAAAATGAAACTATACACTGATCACAGACGCGGTGCTCGCAATCCTCTCTTTGGTGTGGGAGGGAGAGTGAGAATAAGACTTCCTCGTGCAACCCCAAAAGGTCATCCTAGATTTTCTGCTCCGGTAAGAGTAGAGGAGAGAGTGGGAACCAACACATTTCTGCTCAGTGATGGAAAAAAGTGGAATGCTGCTCACCTGTCATACTCACCTGAATTGAGTGACTGTGCCAGTAACACAGCGCAGCCAACACACAACACTACACATAGTGCTGTGAAAGTCTCGCGTATGAGACGTAAGCCTGTTTGGCACAAGGACTATGAGATACACTAAACAGGACTGTTTACATCCAAGTTGCGCAAGTATAGATCAAGAAAGAAAAACTGTTCTGAGAGAGTTAACCACGTCTTGGTTTATAATAGTGGTTGAAGTAACAGTAAAGAAAGGTTATTAAGATGTTCCAATGTCAACTGACTGTTTATGCTGACCGTTCTTGTATTATGTCGTGAGTTAGGTAACCGATATGTCACTGTTTTATATACATTGAATGTAATATACGGACTGTTACTGGATAGTTGTCTAGGTTGTCACAACTACTTTATTCAGAGTACATGTTTCCTTCTAGTTGGGTTAAGAACAATGTTTTCACAAAGAGGGGAAATGTTGTGTTCTATACTGTAATTCCTAATGCGACCTTTAGAGACGCTGTGTTGTAAGAGGTTAGAAGAGGGGGTGGAAGAAGAAGAAGTAAAGGGTTAGACATGAGAGTTACGGTCAACACATGTGAGGTAGTGATGTTACATATGACACTGAAGCTTCGATGTGCGTATCGCGAAAGCGAAGCAATTTCTATTGAAGCCCCGTATCGGGGGGTGTATTGGTTTCCCAGAGGTCACGTGATCGATGACAAATGAAGCCTCACTTTCTGTCCAATCAGGTGCGTGTCTCGCTTTGGGTGTCAGAAGCTATGGTCAGAAGGCTCGAAGGTCCTTGTTGGCTCAGTCTGGTTGATGGGTTTGTGAGGAGAGTGCTGTACTTTGAAAGTTAATCAATACATTACATTTAAATAACCAAAACTACTTATTATTTTGTTGTTGTTGTTGTGTCTTTTTGTTTTTGTAAGATCGTTGCACTTTTGGTGTTTTTTAGGTAATTTGGTGTTGGTATTTGGGTGTTTGGTGACGGGTTTGTATTTACAGCAATGGGAACAGCCAAAAAAAGGAAGACTTCCCCTAACTGGGAATATTTTGAGCTTATAGCTTCCAATGTATGAATGCATTTCTAAAAAAGAAATAAAGAAATATTTATTTATTTATTTATTTGGTATTATTTTATTTTTTATCATTGTATTCTAAAATTGTTGACCGTTGATGTGTCTTATATTCAGTCAATGTACATGTACAGTCACTCCCAACAAAAAAAATGTATCCTCACACTTCTGAGGTGGAAACCTTTGGCTTCTGTTGGACAGTGCTGTAGACCAGCGCAAACAAAGCTCAAATGCCACTTCTGATGCGATCGTAGAAGTGGATAAATACCTTACAGAGACAAACATACAAAGAGCTGAAGATCCACTTGAATACTGGAGAATGCAGAAACATGTCTACCCCCATCTATATACATTGGCATTACAGAATAATTAAAATCTTTATCACCTTTCTGTCATTCAGTTACATAAGCACTATCACTGCCAAGTGTCAGATGAACAGATGATCCTATCACACAATGTCCTTATTCACTATATGTGTGTGTGTGTGTGTGTGTGTGTGTGTGTGTGTGTGTGTGTGTGTGTGTGTGTGTGTGTGTGTGTGTGTGTGTGTGTGTGTGTGTGTGTGTGTGTGTGTGTGTGTGTGTGTGTGTGTGTGTGTGTGTGTGTGTGTGTGTGTGTGTGGAGAGAGAGAGAGTAGGCCTACATTAAATCTTATTAAATCATATGCTCATTTTATATTTTATTGTCACACTTTAATGGGTAAAATAATGTATTTATTAATGGACAAATCAAACACAAACGTGTAAGGCTTTTTATTTCTACACATAACATTGAAATTATGGAGTGTGTTGTGGTTGCTTCATCTGACAGAGCTTTTAACACAGGCTTCTGGCTGCTTTATTTTAAATAAGCACCAGATGGCGCTGTTCTCGACACTCTCGAAGCTTTGAATCTTTTCCCGGAACAGTCAGGGGAAAGCCTCATTGATTCACGAGGCTTCATTTCCCCCATCCCTAATGTGAGGTTAAGATGGAAATAAATACGAGTCATTGAAGATATACGGTGTCGTACTTACTATCCACCTAGAACATAACAGTCATCTGGCGTGAACGCAGCTCCACTCCTCCAGACCTAATCAAACACACCTGAACAAGCTAATCATGGTCTTCAAGATTAGGCTAGAAAGCTACACGCAGGTGAGTTTCATCAGGGTTGCAGTTACCCAGACTTCCTTGGATCTATAAATCTTTAGACAGCAATTTATCTTAAGGGATTCAGCAGCACATCTATTCAGTGTAACGTTAGTTTTGTGTGCCTCACTGTCTCCCCTGGCTGACTAATTCAGTGCATCTTCTAGCAGAGTTGATTGTTGTGAGATCGCAGGTCGAGAGGATGACATCTCGAGTGTACTGCTCGTTGAGTGTTGTTTTAGTGTGTCTGTCTGCATGTTTGAGCACAAACCACGCTGGAGTCGTAGGTGAGAAGATATTTTAGCTTCATTTCACAGCCCGAATAAATGCATAAATAAGTGCCTTTCAAAATATGATGTACAGTACAATTAGTTGTAAAAGTAAACTTATGAACAACGTATTAACTGGATATCTTCTATCTGCATTGTGCTTCTATAACACACCTCACCAATAGTGGGGTAGGTTGTAACGGCACGGCACTCTGTCTTGAAACTAATCGACCATTTAGTTATAAATGGTATTTCTACTTGATTTGAAGCAGATAAATGCATAAATATTTTTAAGTTTGGAAAAATGGACATTGCAAAACACCTGACTTACAAATAATGAAAATATTACAACAACACTCCTGTAGTGTCTGGTAAAGCTGACGGTCGTGCCGTGGAGGATGTACTTGTGATCGAGACTGTTCTGGAGGACAATGTTAACTAAATGTGAAGCTATAAAGTAAAAAAGACTGAACTAGTATTTTCTTGTAAAACCTATTCTGATCTTTAACCACTTTTTCATATCACTGAGTGCTGAAAGTCTCATTTACTGTATGTTTCTGTTATGTTTGTATCACAGCAAAGCCGGGACAGTGTCCAAGCTCAAAATCTGGTGGAGGAAATTGTGCTGAGTTGTGTTCCTATGACCGTGACTGTCCCAACAATGAGAAATGTTGCAGCAATGGATGTGGACGTCAGTGTATGGCTCCATATACAGGTATTTATGTTCTATGACTATTAGTGTTTGAGTCGGCTTTCTCGTTATATCAGTTGGTCTTATTTTATCATTGTGTCAAAAGTATTGAGCCGATAGCACCGTTTCAAGCAAAGGATTGCTTTACAAATTTAATAGATGAATAATACTTAAAATACAATTCTTTCTGTAAGTAAAACGTACTGTTCATGCTTTGCGTGTTTTGTGCTGTTCATCTAAGACCTAAATGTTACTAAACGGACTGACTAAAGCTGACTATCTGAATCTATGCAGTGAAGCCTGCAGCTGAACCGGCAAAGCCTGCAGTTTGTGCTGAAAACTGTCAAAAAACTCACCCTAATGCCCAATGTTCTGGCCCCAAGAGGGGCCCTCCAGAGCCTGTAGTGAAGCCTGTGGCCGAACCAGTGAAGCCTGTGGCTGAACCAGCAAAGCCTGCAGTATGTGCTGAAAACTGTCAAAAAACTCACCCTAATGCCCAATGTTCTGGCCCAAAGAGGGGTCCTCCAGACCCTGTACTGATCCCTGTGGCCGAACCAGCAAAGCCTCCAGTGAAGCCTGCGGCTGAACCGGCAAAGCCAGCAGTGTGTTCTGAAAACTGTCAAAAAACTCACCCTGATGCCCAATGTCCTGGTTCTAAGGGGGGTCCTCCTGGACATAAAGAAAATGGCCATGCATGCAGTTAACAGTGTTGATTTTTACGATTGATGTTTTCCCTGTTTAACAAATAAATAAATGGAAAAACAAATTAATTTGCCTGAAGAGTTTCATTTATATAGCACATTTAATGCAACAGCTGTTGCCCAAAGTGCTTCACAATAACTAAACCCAAATAAGAGTATAGAGAAAAAAAAACATAGACAAGGTAATGATCAAACACCCATCATATGAAGAGGCCCAGGAAGTCTTTAAAAGATGTGTTTTTAACATGGCCTTACATTTCAGTAGTGATTTTACTGACCTTACAGAAAGAGGGAGGTCATTCCAAAGTTTGGTTCTGACATGGGAAAATGCTTTGCCGCCCTTATGTTTGTATTTTGTTCTGACAACACAGAATATTTTTATTTTGGTATCTCAAAGATCTAGATGGATTATAAAATTCCAGCATAAACCTAAGTGGCAAAATTGTGTAACCCCTTAAAAACAATCTTATAGATAATTCTATCGAATCAGCAACTGTAAAATATTATGGGACCCCAGCATAAAACCAAAGGGCTTATTTGGTGGTCACCTGAATATACGTAGTCTCATATCTAAAAATGAACAAATTCGACATTTGTTAATGGACTCTAATTTGGATTTCTTATGTCTGTCCGAAACCTGGCTTCATGAGAATTCACCCTTTGCAGCTATCACCATACCAGGTTATCAAATTTATAGAAATGATAGAGTGAGATCTAAAGGTGGTGGTGTTTTGGTGTATTTAAAAAATAACATTCAATGTGAGGAAATTAACTTGTCAAATTGTGACTTGGAATGTATTGGATTGAAAATTATATTATCGCCACAAATGTTTTTTAGTTTGATTGTAGTCTATCGCCCTCCCTCTGCCAAAGTTGATTTTTATGAAAATTTTCGTAGTATGCTTCTAAGATGCAACTTTGAAAAAGAGGTATTAATAATGGGGGATTTTAATGTTAATTGGGAAGATAGAGTAGCCAGGAAAAATCTTAAACAAATATGTGATAATTTTGATTTAACACAGGTAGTCAAGGGTCCTACAAGAAAAACTCATAATACTGAAACGCAGATTGACTTAATCTTTTGCAATAAGCCAGAAAGAATTACAAAATCCTTTAATATGATCACAGGACTATCGGACCATAATCTAGTTCTGGTAACTAGAAAGTTAACTAGCAGAAGGTTTTGTATTTCAACTGTTAAGGAGAAAGAAGTATCTATAATACCCAACAAAGTACGGGGTCATTTTATAGATACAATAAACAGGTTTAACTGGAGTAATTTGCTAGCTGGGAAAGATATACATGATGGAAGTACAGTGCTTACAAGTAGACTGCAGTATTTTATTAAGGAGTTTACCCAAAAATTTAGAAACAGAAATTATAAGAATAGTCTCCCATGGATTACTGCTGAAATTTTTAATATGATGAAAGAACGTGATCTTGCAAAAAAAAAGGCTAATAATTCTAAATTAAGTACTGATAAACACCGTTTTGCAATGTTGAGAAATAAAGTTACATCTCAGTTAAGAAAGTCAAGGGCTGATTTTTTTCTGACTATTATAAACAATGCAGGGGGCAATTCAAAATTGATTTGGGATCAATTAAATAAATTGCTGGGGCAGGAACATAAAGACAGAAAACCTGTTGATCTTATGTTAAATGGGAAAAGTATTTCTGATCCAATCGTGGTTGCTACAGCTTTTAACAACTATTTTGGAGACTCTGTGGCATCTATTGCACAGGGTTTCTCACACATAGATATTAGTAAATGCCCTATCTTGTCGTCAGAGCACAGCCTTGTGTTTTCCAGCGCTACCGAAAGTAATATAGAATCTTTAATCAGTTCACTTAATATTTCTAAAGCGAAAGATGTCTTTGGTATGGATAATACAATGTTGAAAGAATTAGGCTCGTCATTGATTATCCCGATCACAAAAATTATAAATCAATCGATCTCTGTGGGGGAATTCCCAAATGCTTGGAAATTAGCTATTGTTTCCCCTTTATTTAAATCAGGAGACAGACAAATTATTTCCAACTATAGACCTATTAGCATTCTGCCAGTAATATCTAAGGTTTTAGAAAAATGGGTGTTTCAACAGATTAGGGATCACTTGAATAACTCGGTATGTTCCCTTCATCCATTACAATTTGGATTTAGGTCAAATTACTCCACTGAGACAGCGAACTGTTTTTTTATCGAAAATATTAAATCATTGCTTGATAGGCACAAGTTTGTTGGAGCTATTTTTTTTAGATCTTAGGAAAGCCTTTGACACTGTTAATCACAATATTTTACTGTCTAAACTATCTCATTTTAATTTTTCAAATAATGCTCTTAAGTGGGTAGAATCTTATCTTTCTCAACGATCTCAAACTGTACGTATTGGCAGCTTTCAATCTGAACCTCTTCAGTTGTCCACTGGAGTGCCCCAAGGGTCTATATTGGGCCCCCTTTTGTTTTGCATGTATATTAATGACTTGCCGCGTGCGTGCCCAGAAGTGAGAGTTCAAATGTATGCAGACGACACTGTTTTATACATACATGGAACATCAAAAGCAGCAGTGGCATCCAAACTTACAAATGCTATGGTTAAAATTAGTGAATGGTTAAACCACAGTAGCCTTCAGTTAAATCTCTCCAAAACAGTGGGTTTGTTTTTTAGTAAAACCACCAACTCTGCAGTTGATCCGGACATATTTATTACCGGTAAAAAAATTGAAATTGTTTCAGAATTTAAATATCTTGGTATTATCATTGACTCCAAACTTAAGTTTAATTCTCACATTTCAAAAACTGTCAAGAAAATAAAATACAATTTATCTAATTTTCGATATATCAGGAATTCAATGTCTACCCAAGCTGCCAAAATGTTTATGCACTCTATGATATTCTCACATATGAATTATTGTCTCACTACTTGGTCTCAGGCTAAACACTCCACCTTGCTACCAATACAGACTTTATATAAACAAACGCTAAAATGTTTTGATAAGAAACCACGTCATTTTCATCATTGTAACATTTTATCTAAATATAAATTGTTGAGTTGGGAAAACTTTGTTAAGTTTTCAAATGGCTGTTTAGCTTATAAAATTCTTAATGGCCTGGCCCCACCACCTCTTAGTGAGTTTCTGAGTTTAAGATCGGATAACAGTCGTCTCACTAGAGGTTCACTTAGAAGGGACTGTGTAATTAATTTCAGGAAAACCGCTTTTAGCCAGTCTGCCTTCTCCATTAAAGCCTCAAAAGAATGGAATGACATCCCAACATCAGTTAGAGAATTAAATAGTTATAATGAATTTCGTTCTTCTTTTAAAACTTGGCTTTTTAGCATGCAAATATGTCAACATTGATATTTTTTTGGGTTTTGGAAATTGTATGGTTTGTTGTATTCTGTTATGTTTTAAATTGTTGTATTACAATGTATTTTTAGGTTGCCTATTGTACATCTGGCCTAGGACTGCAGATGAAAACTAGCCTTTTGGCTAACTCTGGCATATTTTGACTTGTCATGTTAATATGCATTGTCCTTGTAATAATAAAGAATTTAAAAATGGAGTAATTGACTCAAATTTCTTGGCTGATTTGAGCATTCTCGCCAGCATTTTTATTAAAAAAAATTTAGGATGTGCCAATGCTTTGTTAATTCCAAAGTAAAGAATTTCAGTCATGAGTAGGCTACAATGCTCTTGGTGAGAGTGAATTCGCCTGCGCAGAGAGTCGCTCTCGCGCATTAACATCCACTCTAAATTACATTGCACTAAATGATTTCATGGTCAGACTCACACGTGCCATATACATAACGCTACAGCGCTCTGCGTAAATGCATCCACGTGCACACCCCGCTCCATCCCCGGCGGAACTGTTACGGTCCAACCGCGAGCAAAACACAGAGAAATGGAAAATCATTTCTAAAGTTTTTTATGTTTGTTCAAAAACCAGACTCGGACGCAACAACCCAAGCTTGTAGAATTGAAAATTAAACTGAGAGACAATTATCCGTTTGTGAATTATTAAAAAAAAATGGAAAATGAAAGTTCGAAGCCAATTTTTCATTTGGTTAATTTTGATGGTGCAAATTGAACAAAGAACTGCAAAGCGTTACTCGGACCCTAAGTGCTTTATGAAGTGATTTATACATAAATATGATATGAAATGAAAATATGGATTTTGAACTGATTAATTCACTTTTTTTTCTTTGTTTTGTCCCAGCTCTCATGACCAATGCAATTGAAATATATAATAAATACACTACTTTTTTTTAAAGAAGTATCTTATGCTTACCAAAACACAGTAAAATACCAATATTGTGAAATTATTACAATTTATAATAACTGTTTTCTATTTCAACGTATTGTAAAATGTAATTTATTCCTGTGATGTAAAGCTGAATTTTCAGCATCATTACTCCAGTCTTCAGTGTCACATGATCCTTCAGAAATCATTCTAATATGATGATTTGATGATCAGAAAACACTTATCAATGTTGAAAACAGTTTTGCTGCTTCATATTTTTGTGGAAACTATGATAAAGGATTCTTTGATGGATACAAAGTTGAAAAGAACAGCATTGATAAAATCTGTAACATTATAAATGTCTTTACTGTCACTGATCAAATTAATGCATCCTTGCTGAATATATATATATATATATATATATATATATATATATATATATATATATATTAAAAGTCATATAATAAAATATAATGTTGTTACTTTTGTAAAAAAATAAAATAATAATTTGTCCTATGTAAAATTATAGGCTACTTGTTGTCCAGTACAAAATCATCAAGCAAAAACAATTAAGAACCACTTATGTATGGCCTTAAATCAGCAAAGCTCTAAATGAGCAAAGTCAGCTAATAGCCATTCATTTTTTCCATTTTGCTGCCTTCAACATGATGTCCGTACGGCTGTTACAGATGTGGCTCGGCCATCTGTCGCTCTTCTCTCTCCGCAGCCCAGAGCTCTGAGGTACGTGCTCGTGACCTCTGTCTATTACTACA